AGTCTAGTCATGTTATGACTAATTCCGTATGCTAGGACAGTCTATAACTTATCCATCAATGATTCTCTGAGATACCAGTAGTTAATAAGACTCAGATAACAGGAGCATGTTTGAAAAGAACAGTGTTATGTATCCTTTGTGAAATGAACTCTGGAAAAAGTTTGGACCAGTAGGAATTTTTAAAAGGAAACTTTTGAAGCTGACATTTGGTATTGCATATCTATTTTCATTGACTATAGTTTGTTTAGAAGCTCAAGGTTATTCCTGTCTCTATTTTTTTATATGGATTTTTTTAAAAATTGTATAGGACATATCCGGCACTAGAGACATTGACAGAACCTCATCAGCTCACAGCTACTTTAAGCTGTGTAATTGGAGTAGCTCGTAGCTTGGTGTCTGGAGGCAAGTGGTTTCCTGAAGGTCCAACACACATGTTACCTCTGTTGATGAGAGCATTGCCTGGCGTGGATCCAAATGACTTCAGCAAATGCATGGTGAGCATATAACTCTCTTAATTTTTTAAGGTATAAAGTACTATTTGGCTACCTTTAAATTGCTTTGAGACCTCTTTTAATATTAATCTCAAAGTAAATGAAAGATATGTTAAAAGAATTTGAGGTTTCTTGAATGAGTCTGGAGTAGGTACCTGCACCACTTCTGGAGGGAGTCTATTCCAGGCCTGGGGGGCTTGGACAGTAAAGAAATTTTTCTTATGTCCGGGCAAAAATGGTCTTGGAGGACTTTGACTGTTGGTCCTCATTTTCCCTTGTGGTGTTCTGGTGAACAGATGTTCTCCCAGGTCCTGATGTATACCCCTTATGTACTTATAAGCAGCCACCAGGTCCCCCTGAGCCTGCACTTTTCCAGGCTGAAGAGTCCCCTGGTTCTTAGCATCTCTTCATAATGCCTGTTCTCTTGCCCTCTGATCATGCATGTGGCTCTCCTCTGGACTCTCTCAAGCGTTTCAACATGCTTCTTGAATTGTGGAGCCCAGAATTGGATGCAGTACTCCATCTCCAGCCTCACCAAGGCCGAGGACAGCGGGAGGATGACATCCTGAGATTTGCTTGAGAAGCATCTATGGATGCAAGCCAGAGTTCTGTTTGCTTTACCAGCTGTGACATTGCATTGGTGGCTGATGTTCATCTTGTGGTCAGTCATGACCCCCAGGTCCCTTTCATTCGTAGTGCTATCCAGCATAGCACTGCAGAGCCTATAAGTATGCTGTGGGTTTTTTTCCCACCCCCGAGATGGAGCACCTTACATTTATCAGTATTGAACGTCATCAGATTTGTATCTGCCCACTTACTAAGTTTATCCAAGTCAGCCTGGCTCACTAGCCTGTCCTCAGGTGTGGATGCTACACCCCAAAGTTTAGTGTCATCGGCGAACTTAACCAGTGCGCTTCTGACACCAATGTCCACATCAGTGGTAAAGATTAAAGAGAATCGGTCCAAAGACAGAGCCTTGGGGGATGCCACTGGTCACGGAGCACCGTAATGATTTGCTACCATCGACCACTACTCTCTCGGTCTGACTTTGGAGCCAATTTCCCAGCCATCTGACTGTGGTATAGCTGAGGCCACAGTTGGCCAGTTTTTCCATGAGGAGGTCATGGGACACCAGATCAAAGGCTTTTTTAAAGTCCAGATATATGATGTCAATCTCTTCTCCCTTGTCCAGGTGATATGTCACCTGGTCATACAAGGAAATGAGATTGGTCAGGCAAGACCTACCCGCAACAAACCCGTGCTGACTGTCCCTTAGGATGTTGCCCTCAGCCGGCTTATCCAGAAGGGTCTCCTTGATACTTTTCTCCAGAATCTTACTGGGGATTGAGGTTAAGCTGATTGGCCTGTAATTCCTGGGGTCTACTTTCTGCCCTTTCTTGAAAATGGGTACCACATTGGCCTTCTTCCAGTCTTCAGGTACTTCACCTGAGCATCATGAGTTTTCGAATATTTTTGTCAATATTTTGATCAGATATTTAGACCGTGTAAACAAGTGGAGGGGGGCAGGATTTTTGGCAGGCCTGTCAGAAATGAGCCCCGTGCCCTCCCAGAGTGCCACTCTGGTCCCCTTCCCCTGATTGATCTGCTTCCTGTCCTGCTCTTCTGCTCTACCTTCTGTTTCCTATCCCTTGTGTTACTGTGATGCTTGCCCCTCCTTGATCTGCCGTGTGCCACACACAGGCTGTCCACACACTTGGGGGCAATTATGCTGCTGGTTGACCACCCCAGTGTAAACAATTTATACATAACATCTTACAGGGTAGCTTTCACAATTTCATACTTTTTTCATTGTAACATATCTGCATATGGGATTGGACAGATTCTTGGAGGAAAGATGCATCAGTAGCTATTGAGCATGGGAGTTCGGGATATAGCTTCTGAATCGGAGCTTCCTAGACCTTAAATGCTGGAGGCCACAAGTAGGAGAGGAGCAGTAGAAAAAACCCTGGTCATATCCTGCTTCCTCTCCTTTTCAACATCCACTCTCTGCCACTGTGTGATGCAGCATGCTGGGCAAGGTGAACCTATAGTCTGACCCAGTAAATAGCAGTTCTTACATTTTTATATTTTTACGTTTGAGGTAAATATTTCCCGAAATTCAATATATAACAAGATGGCTTTACTAAAAATTCAGTTATTTTGATAGTACTAATTTTAGTGGTAACTGGTACAGAGACTTTCTGCCTGGAATGGAAGGTAATTTGCCTGTTTTCTACATAATTTCTGGTTAAGATTAATGCCTCAGCATGAACTCGTATAGCTTGTTTTCAAGTCTCATAAGCTTTTGGTACGATAACATAGGAATATGTATTAATATATATTTTTCAAATTCCCAACAGATCACATTTCAGTTTATTGCAACATTTTCTACCTTAGTGCCTTTGGTAGATTGCTCGTCTGTACTACAAGAAAGAGATGATCTTTCAGAGGTAAGAATGCTCTGTGGACATAAAATATAACTAATACAGTTTTCCTGTCTCCACCTCTTCCTCCTTCTCTGTTTATTTTTTATTCTGTTGCTCCCTTTTAAGTGTAGAATAGGTGTGACAATTGGCCTCTAAACTAGCTTTTTTTCTACACTGGCCCTCAAAATGCTATTTCTGCAGTTGACACAGACAGTGGATGCGGAGACGTAGAGATTAACTGCCCGTGATACTGGACACTGAGCATCAGTTTGTGTTGTGGCAAACTACAAGCCAAAAAATTCAGTTTAGTATCTTCACTGTGGCCTCTAGTGGCAGTTTTCAAAACTCTGTAAGACTTGGGTATCAGAGAGAGATGGCCTGTAGACTGGATCTGGCCTGCAGAGTCCTGTCATCTGGCCCCTGGTGCTGACTGGGTCCAGGAGTTGACCCAAAGGCAGCATGCAGGGTGCACCAGGTGGTCCAGTGTGCTGCAGATGGTGCCTGCTGTGGCAACTGCACTGCCCATTTCAGTGCATATCAGCTTCATCAGTGCTGGCGCAGCCATCACTTGTGACAGCAGCTGAGTGCAGCCTCTCTGGCTGGTTCAGGGCGTGTTGGATTTGGCATGCAGGGTGTGTCTGAGGGTCTGCTATGGCCTGTAGAATGCCCTGTGCCACTCATCTGACCTGTGGGGCCAGATGGGTTTGACACCCTTGATACAAGGAAGTACAACTCGAGCAGAAATTCCAAGATTTCAAAAACATCTTGTGAGGGGACAGATGTTAATGTTGCTAAATATACCACTAGTTACCACCAATAGATAAACTTGTTGGCGATGCTAGCTGTCAGGGTTTTAGTGGCTGCTTTCACCTGAGTGGATACGTAGCCAAAGTGTGGGGCCATGTCTGCTTGCAGCACAGTATGAAGATTAGACTGTGGCTTCCAACCTGTGGCTACAGAGAAATCCAGGTTGACACAAAACTTAGTATTGTAGTCCGAGTCCTTGCTTACTAACTTTTTTAAAATACTTTCAGTTCTTAAATTTAGGATTATAAAACCCATTTTATTTTATTAGGAAAGTTAAGCATTCAATTTTTGTCGTCTTTTACTTGGAAATTGTAGGTAGAGAGAGAGCTGTGTTCTGCTACTGCCGAGTTTGAGGATTTTGTACTGCAGTTTATGGACAGGTAAGTCTAGCTTAATTTAACCAAAATAACTTAAATTGCAAGCCTCTGCTTTTTTTTTCACTTCCTGTATTGATCAACTTCTATAGATGTTTTGGGCTCATAGAAAGCAGCACGCTAGAACAAACTAGAGAAGAGACTGAAACTGAAAAGATGACTCATTTGGAGAGTTTAGTGGAATTGGGCCTCTCTTCTACTTTCAGTACAATCCTCACCCAATGTTCGAAAGATATATTTAAGGTATGTGGAAATTTTTATTTGAGAAAGGAGGAGAGAAATACAGTAACCTTTGACTTCTCTATTTTATTTGTGGGAAGGATTGGTTTTCCTTGTAACAAAGTGCCTATCCATTTTGTTTCTTCCCTTTCTAACACTTCAGACTTGTTGCGAAACAAAGGAAAAGAACTAGAAACTTTGCCACCCTTAGTGATACGCAAAACCCTCAGATACTTACCATCAGTTAACAAGAAACTAAATCATGGGAGAAATTAAGAGATTTGGTACACAGTATGTACCTGTATAATTTAAATTGGTATAGAAAAATTGTGCGAAAATTAGGAGTAAAGCTACATTGGTGTAAACTTAAACCAGCATAGTTGTCCTCTGCTTCTGTCTTGAGGGTGGCTGTTTGCTCTGTGCAAATTATTACAAGCTTTCTTACTACCTTGTTGCAAGGCACTCTGCTATACTACTACCCTTTTTTAGTCACTATATTGGGAGGGCTCCGAGTCTGTCAGCTGAAGGCACTGGGGTAGCTTAAGCTGATATACAAAATGAAGTTAACCCCTGTGTCCAATGTTCTTCCTTGCATCTTGTGGTAACTGTTGAATTTTGTCCTTGTGTTACTAAAGTTGCAGATTGTTTGAGTGCTTATATGTTACCACTGAGCTGCTTCATTGAATACAGGGTGCCTAAATGTGCCTTCCTTTAGTTGATTATAAATCTTATAAGTGTGTTGTGTTGCTATAACACTTAAATTTGTATTTCATCTCACTTGCTTAGGTGAAATATGTAATTATTTTGATACTGACACTTTTTAAATGTCGCTTTGAATTTCTTCCCTTTATTATTGATCTAACTTGGGAGGATGTGATAAGTGAGAGAGGTGGTGATGGTTTTGTCAGTTCTAGTCTGAAAGTCTGGGAAGTAAGTTAGGGCCTGTTGATCCTCCCTCTGCACGCAAGGGGAATAAGATGGTTGTCTTCAGGGACTTGCACAGTAACAGCCTGTTTCCTGTTCTTTCTGTAGCTTTTGGTTTGTTGCCTTTTCTGGGCACTTGGCAGTAAGTGTCCAATGTTCCTTCCCAAGGTAGATCCACGAGCATTCAATTTGACAATATTCAAGAGGCACTGTCCCAGTGTGGCATCAACTTGGGCCAGCGTTTATTTGTTTTCAAACACTTAAAGACAAATTTGTAGCGTAATTCTCTTGTAGACTTGTAATGTAAATGCCTTAATGGTTATTTCCATCCTCTGACTTTGTAAGCTAATACCGTTTCTGCAAGATTTTTTGTTACGATTATTTTCTTTGTTTTAACAAAATGAAAGCTTTTTTATTATAGAGCTAACCTCTACAAATATCATCAAACTTTGTAGCATCTTTTAGTGGATACTACAGAGATGTTCCTTAGCATGCCAGCCATGAAAGTAAAGTGTCGCAAAGAATTCTGATAGTCGGCAGTTTTTTTTCTTCCTTCAGAAAATCTATACCCAAAATTATTATAAAAGAAATCCATGTCAATTAATCTTTTGAATATTCATTTTAAAATGAATGCATACAACTTTTATTCCTGATGTTCTACATCCATGCTTGTTTTCCTTTTTGCTTGTCAAGTATTTATATTTGAAAGAACAGGAGTGAATAAATGATTTGCTACATTAATGCCCCAGCGGAGTCCCCCAGGGCTCAGTCCTTGGGCCTGTACTGTTCAATTTCTTTATCAGCGATTTGGACGACGGGGTGAAAAGCAGCCTGTTCAAATCTGCTGATGATACCAAAATTTGGGGTGAGGTGGGCACGCTGGTAGGGAGGGAAAGACTGCAGCAAGACCTGGATAGGTTGCAGGAGTGGGCTAACAAAAACAGGATGCATTCCAATACGGACAAGTGCAGGGTGCTGCACTTGGGCAGTAGTAACCGGCAGCACACTTATAAGATGGGAAACTCCCTTCTTGAGAGGAGAGGCAGAAAGGGATCTTGGAGTCATTATTGACTCCAAGATGAACATGGGCCGACAATGCGAGGTCACAGTCAGCAGGGCTAACCGGACCTTATTGTGCGTCCACAGGTGCATCTCAAGTAGGGCCAAGGAGGTGATCCTGCCCCTCTACGCAACACTGGTCAGGCCACAGCTGGAGTACTGTGTCCAGTTCTGGGCACCCCACTTCAAGAGGGATGTGGACAACATTGAGAGGGTCCAGAGGAGGAGGGCCACCTGCATCATCTGGGGACAGCAGGGCAGACCCTACAATTGAGAGGCTACGGGACCTGAACCTGTTCAGCCTTCACAAGAGAAAGCTGAGGGGGGACCTGGTGACCGTCTATAAACTCACTAGCAGAAGGGTTTGGGGGAGACCTTGGGTTTCCCCTTGTGCCCCCCCGGGATAACAAGGAATAGCGGGCACAAGTTGTTGGAGAGTAGGTTTAGATTAGACATCCGTAAGAACTACTTCACAGTTAGGGCGGCTAGGATCTGGAACCAACTTCCAAGGGAAGTGGTGCTGGCTGCTGCCCTGGGAGTCTTTAAGAAGAGTCTTGATGCCTACCTGGCTGGGGTCATTTGAGCCTAGTTTTCCTCCTGCCCAGGCAGGGGGTCAGACTTGAAGATCTACAAGGTCCCTTCTGGCCCTACTTCTATGATTCTATGAATGCCACTTTTTCGTGTGTTCATGCGAAAAGACATTGCTCCATTCAAAAGCTCATTAATTAGGTAATAACTTCTGTCTTTTGTATTCCACTCAGGTTGCCTTAGAAAAGGTTTTTAACTTTGCTGTTTCAAATATATTTGAGACAAGAGTTGCTGGTCGGATGGTTGCTGACATGTGCCGAGCTGCAGTAAAAGTGAGACATTATTCTTGTTTACTTAAATTCAAGAAAGAAAGGGTTTTGAAACCTAAATTTTTCTTACATGTGCTTAAAATACGTTGTTACAAGATGATATAAGATCATTTCAGTTTTATGAGTTTGCGAGTTCAGCTCTGTAATATAATACTGCGTTTGCTGAGAGTTAAAAAAAAAAAAAAAATTATGAGGTCAGATTTCAAGCCTCAAAAGCTTGGGTTGAATTGTAGCTAGAGCTGAGTTGAACCATGTTCTTGTTCACTTTATCCTTAATTTGTAATAATGCTTTAAAACGATTTGATTATCAAAAATACATAGCTCCAGAAAGTCTTCTTGTTTAGATTTATGGTTGGTCATGATGTTTTCAGTGCCGTCCTGAGGAGTCTTTGAAGCTCTTTGTGCCCCATTGCTGCAGTGTAATAACTCACCTTACCATCAGTAAGTTCAAAAGTTACCTAATTGTATTGTATTAGTTTCATTTTGATTGAGTTTTATTGATCTAAAGAATAAAACTGATACTTTAAAATAACAATCTGTTTTTCTTTATAAAGTAGCTTACTGAAAAGAGTGCTTTGTGGGGGTGGGTGTTTAAGAGGGCTGTGATGATAACTAATTAAAAGGTTTTGAGAAACCATTTTTGAAAAGCAGTCTAACAAACTTCTTGGCTGGCATGCTTCATAGAAGCATATTTGCAAGTAGTCCATCATGGGGCTGTCCAACTGGCAGCTCATGGGTTTTCCATCTGGCTGCTACTTCTCCCACCACTCGTACTGCTGCTAGGCTCTTTGGGTTCTCTGCCCCTGGGCCTGAAGCCTGTAGGTAGGTAGGGAGGGAAGGAGGAGTACACAGGGCACCTGGGGCTTGCAGGCCACTGCGGGGGTGGGGGTGTCTCCTACTGATTCAGAAGTTGGTTTTTGAGTTAATATTTAAATGTAACTAGTTTTATTTGATCACACTGGGTTCAGGGACTTCTGGATGGGTGGGAACACATATGTGAGATTGCAGGTAAAATTATGTGGTTAATTAAATTAAATATACAGCAGTATAAGTATCAGATGTCTTATTTAGCTTATTTGAAGCTCTGGACTTAAATGTTTGAAATCATTTAAACCTCCAGTTTGAGCATTTCATTTCAATTTAGGTAACAGAAGTGTTTAATACTTTTGTCCTTAGATGATGATGTCTTGCATGAAGAAGAACTAGATAAGGAACTACTCTGGAACCTTCAACTTTTGTCAGAGGTACCATGAAGATCACAATTCTGTTCCTTAATTGGATCATCTTTGCTGTTGAAAGACACACATATTTTACTGCAGCAGCAAACATTCACCCTTTGTTTGAAAGATGCTGAAAGATGCTTATGTTAAGCAAGAATGGATAATATTTACCTTGTGTTATGTACTCAATCATATACAACTTCAATAAAACTTTAAAAGCCATTTGCCCTAGCATCAGTGATGATGGAATGGGGTTGCTGCTGCAGGAAAGAGACTAAGCAGCATAGAGAGCAAATCATATGATTTTCAGATGAACTGGAAGATGCTGTTGGTGAAGTCAGAAATTCTGTACATGATGGAGCTTTGAAAGTCCTGGGAGTTTGGGAACAGCATAGAGTCAGAATTTGTAGGAGTCAAACTGATGCATAAGTTTTCATCTAGCAGCAGAAAAGGCTGTTTTTGTACTTGCTACATACTGCCAGTTTGAGATCCCTCCTCACCCCCTTTTTTAAAAAAAAATAGTCAAAGCAGATGCTTATACTGTATTAGGCTTTTGACCTCGTTCGAACTAAATCATTTTAATTCACCTTTGAATGTTTCTCCCTTTTTGATTAGATTACACGAGTGGATGGAAAGAAATTGCTGCCATACAGGGAGCAGCTTGTGAAGATTCTGCAGCAAACCCTACACTTAACCTGTAAGCAGGGTTACATTCTGTCTTGTAACCTACTGCACCATCTTCTTCGTTCTACTACACTTATCTACCCCACAGAGTACTGCAGTGTGCCAGGTGGCTTTGACAAGCCTCTTTCTGAATACTTTCCTATCAAGGCAAGGATTTTCATTTATTTAGGATTAGAGGATTTGTCAAAACATTTAAAATGCTAAACTATCTTGTTTGTTTTTATTTGAAGATTTATCAACATGGTGACTATGGAAAGTGTAATTGAAAGATGCTTTAAATGTTGAAACGTGCATTGCAATAGACTTTATTAACTAGTTTTATTAAATAAGATAAACAGAAAATAATACTTGATATTGTAATGAGTAGCTTAATGACATGGAACATACTTCATGTAGTTATGCGAACATAGGCAATATTAAATGGTATAAAGCAAAGACTGATACCCATTGTGTTTGTGTTGTAATATATGGTGAACAGATTTGAGATCCACCCAGCTTTAAATGTAGCGGTACAAACTGCTGTTAGTTTTAAGATGAATCGGAA